TTCTGAAGGGTCTAGGCCCGAAATGTCAGCTTTCCTGCTCCTCTGATGCTGCTTGGCCTGCTGTGTTCATCCAGCATCTGCAGTTCCTACTATCTCCTTAAAAGAGGTTTTTTAATGAATTCAAAATAATAATTCAACAGGTAGATCACATGTTGAACCCAACTTCTAGAAATGACATACTAAAAGCCCCTTTCAGTCTATAAAGCATTCAAATAGTTTAACATCTTTCATTTTTTTCACATAGTCCATAAATATAAATATGTACATATTAAACATGATGAATAGATTATTTAGCAAGGCAGGCAGATGGTGTATTTGGGACTGCAGCTCATACCCAATGCTGTCTTTGCAGTTAGGTGCTACTTTTGCAATTTTGGTAAATGTCATGACAAGCACAGAGGACCGCCTCATCTAAAATCAGCTGCTCACATCCTAACTTGCACCAAATCCCATTCACTGCTCCAATGAAAGGTTCCAAGTCCAACAATGCCACAATTTTAAAATTCTCATCTTTGATTTCAATTCCTCAAAGGCCTCACCCCCTCCCTCCTCTATAACCTCCTCTAGTCCAACAATATTCTAAGACCCCAAAACAGAACTTGCTGGAAAAACACAGCAAATCTTGCTGGATCTGTGGAGAGAAAGCACAGTTAACATTTCAGATCCAATGACCCTACTTCAGAACCTTCTAAGACCTCTGCACTCTTCAAATTCTAGTTTCTTGAGCATCTCCACTTTAACTGCTCCATCATTAGCAGCCATTCCTTCAGCTTCCTAAGCTGTTGGCTCTGGAATTACATCCCAAAATCTCACTACTTCAATGTTTCTTCCTCCCCATTTAAGATGCTACTTCAAAGCTTGTTGCTCATATGTATCAATATCTCCTTACGACATCAAGGCAACATCCAACTGACTGTGGTATCAAGGAGCCCTACAAAAAGATAAAATTAACAGGTATCAGTGAGAAAGCTTTTTCATGGTTGGAGCTATACTTAGCATAAAGAAAGGTGGCTGGGGTTGTTGGAAATCAATCATTTCAGCCCCAGGAAGAAACACTGAAGTTCTTAATATAGTGTCCTCAGCCCAAGCATCTCCACTTGCTTCATCAATGAACTTCCCTCCATTGCATGCTCAGAAGTGGGAATATTTACCAATGTTTTCAGAGCATTCAGTAATACTCAAGATTGCTCAGATACAAAAGCAGTCCTTCAGCAAGACAGTACTCGAGCTTGCAATGATAATGGCAAGTAGCTTTCATGCCACATGAATGGACTTCTTCAACTAGACAGAACCCAGCCATCTCCCAATCATAACCGCATCAACCTTTGCTGAATCCTCTTTGATCAATATCCTGGGAGTTACCATTGACCAGAAATTTAACTGCACCAGTAATTCAACCAATAAACACTCAGGCACATTTGTCAAATTTTATTTGGACAAAGCATCTGGGGTTGGGAGCGCATCTAAACTTCTGACAAGCATTCCTGGTAGGGAACAATTGCAGTTGGTGCAAAACCTCTTTTGCTCCATCGCCAGACTTGAATTCCAAAATAAACTGTAAAATACTGGTGTAAAACTTAGGATACCTCAAGAACAAGCAGGCCAACACGTGCATCTTCCAGGACACTGAATTTCTTATAATAAATTATGTTAATTCTACATACCTGCATTACAAACTCCCTGCGACGTGGCAGACCTTTTTCAGATAACAGAAGATATTCAGGTTCTTTCTCCTTCTTTGCTTGCTGTATCTGGGCTAATCGACTGATGGGATTCATACCCTGTCCATATTCTGGACCCGTCTGTAACAGAAACACTTCATGAATGGAAGGTATACTACTTGTGTTTTGTGGAAAGAAAGACAGAACAATGACTTACATTAATCTCCTATTTCTGTCATTGAAACTAGCACACAACTACATCATAAAATTAAATGTGCCTTTTTTGACTCCTGGTCTGCATTGCACTAGCTAACCCCAGACAGGGTTCCAGAATTGGTCATAATATTGAACCCACAATTTTGGAGGGTTCCTCTCCCTATCCTTTCTTCATCACTGACTTCCTCTTGCTACTTCTGCTTACATTTCTTCAATAATTCTATTTTCCTTCACCTCTAGTCTCTTGTGCATCTAATATTCTACTCAATCTAAGATCTAAGATCTGTTGTCAATATAAGACATGATCTTATGTTATTTTCATGTGATAGAAAAGTGTGCTAATCTCCTCTGCATTTTTGGTGTCCAATGATAAAGCTGCTTGAAATTCTAGGAATTTTGCTTTCCACATTTGCCAATTTACCAATCTATCAAATGAGTCTGCTACTTTGATTTTCTATGATGGAAGGACTGTTACCAGTGAATTTTGCTGCATTGGTTAATTGTTGTAGGTACTTGAAGTTGTTGATTGATTATTTTCTTGATTAGTAAAATGATTATTAGAATTTTGTTCTCCTCATACTGCACTCCATTTAGTTGTTTTGTTGTATTATTTGTTGATTAAAGTTGTTGCTCAACTCATGCTCCAAATATTGTTGTTACAGTACTCAGCTTGAAAGCTGTCAATTTTGCTGCTGTTTTAAATGCTGTTTCGATATAAAGATCAGCTTTCCTTGAAAAATAGTGTCTCCAAAGAGATGAATGGAATGACTCCTTGTCCACGATGGCTGATAGATTCACTAACGATTTGTGACCTTCTCCAACCGGCTTTAATCAACGTGATACAATTTTTTGATTATCAAAGATGGTTGTTGTAATGTTGTCAGCATGATTTTTATGTGAGGTAGTTTCATGCAGAATTCAACACCACATGACTAGATTCATGCTCCTTTTCTTTGTTTCTGATGCTTTCTATAAACCTGATAAAACTTTGTAGTTACTGAATGAAACTTGCATTTTCTGTCCAATGAATCAAAAGCATAAAAAATTAACTAACTTCACTAAGGGCTCAAACTTCAAATTCCAAACGAGTCTCATTCTCATTTCTTTTCAATCAATTGATGTACTGTAACCCTGTTGCTGAAGCATTTTCTTAACTTGGTGAATAAATCTTACAATGAATAAATAGCCTGAAGTTTCTAAATAACTGCCAAAAATGTAATTCTTATTCCCAGCCTAGTTATTCTAAGGGACTGAATCTGCTCTGTCTAACTGGTGACCAACCTCTCTTCACCGATACTCTGGGACCCCTTCCTCCTGTTATGGGCAATCTCGTCCTTCAGAGAAAAAAGGTTCTTTGTGATCACATGGGTGTATCAGCACTTTGAGCATATATAGCCATGCCAGCTCCTGAAACTTTTCCACTTAGTGATTATGAAGTGCACTGGTGTAAGACTGACAACCTGTGGGCTGTCAGACGTTCAGAGTACACATTCCATTGCTGCTAAGGTTTGCAGGTGATCGTTGTATATGACTCACCTGTAGACTGGCAGTCACACTGAGTGCTAACCTTGTAAGTGTCCGATTGCAGTGACAGGACTGGCATCACTTAGCCTTACAAAGCACAGAAGAAGATTTTTCATCCTCTTCCTGCAGTAGACATGGGTTCTTTTGTGCAGATCACTGGTGCTGAACTGTGCTGCGACTTTGGTCCAGGCCTAATGGGAGGCCATCCTGCTGCCACAACTGGGAAAAAGAACTTCCCTTCTTTTGTGGATAGCCAAAACAAGAATCTCTAGTCAGCTGTTTTTGAAACTGCAGAGCCAGTTTTTGTCTTAGTTGGGACATGTCTAGAGTGATGAGGCAAACAACAATGCTGAGAGATGCTGCAGGCTTATAATATCTGAAGCGCTATCTGGGTGATCTTAAAGTATTGTGTCCAGGTCATCGACCCCGGAGATTCCAGTGGGAACAAGATCTTCCTGCATGCCCCGTAAGATTTACTGTTCAACACCTGCATCAACTCACATACAAAAGAAGTGAGTTAAAATATGCACTGCTATGCAAGGAAACCTGGGCCAAGCCTGAGTAGAACTGATGACCTCTAGCAAGACTAACCCATAGAGTTTATAATGCAAGATTCTGCCCTTAAGACTTTGGGGCAGTAGAATACTCTATCAGCATTAGCAAAAGAAGCTGAAACCATGTCAACTTTTTAGAATAAATTGATTTGGGTGGTTGAAGGGTGCATGGGTTTAGAACTGGAGGTAGCGTGAAGGATAAACATCAACACACACGGTTTGAGTCAAATTGCTTGTTTATATACTGTAATTCTTATATAGGCAATTCTACATAATTTTTAATTGAATAGGGAAGTTTACTGCAATTTGAGAAGCCCAACTGGCTGGAACTCTGTTCTAAAGTTGGAGGAGTTGAGAGACATGAAACTGATAGACTATAGTTGGGAGCGTGTAATTATAAACACCTTTTCTTTAAGGTAGTCTCCCTTGTAAGTGTGGTCACATGGAGGAAAAAAAATTTCTTATTCTTACTTAGAGTGGGAAAAGCTGACAGGAAGTGCACACTTGACCATTGAACACTTTCCTTCAATATCATAAACACACAGTAAAACACAAAGGGAAGTTTACACTTCAATTTTTTTTTAACAAGTGTCGTCTATTTCAGGAAAAGCATAAGTTGCTTTAGCACTATCGCTAACCTTCAGTATAGATTTGGGTCGTTTTTTATAATGAGTTTTTGGTTTTTCAATCACTGGCAGGGGAGGAAGTTTCTTCAGCTCTTGGAGGACAGTTATTGCTGCTCGTTTTTTCGAAAGTTTTTTACTGTTTCCTTCTCCTTCCGCTGTAAACTCGCCAACTGCAACACGAGTGACAAAGCTCTTCATGTGAGGAGGACCACTTTCTCTAGTTACCTGTCACAAAGAGAAAATGTAAATTAAAATATGTTATATTTTTCTCAGCAATTTTCTTCCCTTTTCTCCCCCCAAGGGTGCTAGAGACACTTGCTACTATTATTTCTGCTACTGAAAATGGACAGAGAAAATGTTTATTAGTCAGTTTGTAAACAATGACTTTCAAAACTGAATGGACAGATCTCAATTAAATTTGAAACAAAGATAGGGTATGTTCCAAGGAAAAACTGATTAGTTTGTGGTGAAGATGTGAATCCAGAGCCTGACATTTTTCTTTTTAGAATGGTGTGGATTGTCTCAGTTGTAAGATGCAATTTGTCACAGCTTTCAAAACATGAGCAGTTTACAGAGCAGGTTGCTGTATGTTTAGGGACCTGATGCTTCCCTCTGAAACAGAATCTCTTAATAAAAAGGTTATTTTTTCAGTTTTGTAGTTACAGAGCATCAACCAAGCAGAGAAACGTCTCAAAAAAAAACTGAGCAAGTGTGATAATCTCAACTCAACACAGTGAGATGGAGGAATGCACTCTACTGAGTGCCCTCCTCACCTGTTTTAACAGAAGTCTGAACAATGACTGGGAGTCGTAATGTGCTCATCACGATTGTTCACTTCCAGTACTGATGTTACAAAGTTATGGAACATAAATGTCAAGCCTTCCTGACCTGACAAAGTGGCTGCAGAAAGTTTCTCTCCTCATTTCTTCTGTAAAACATTTACTGACCATCCTGAGAAATACATTCTCACAAAATTTCTGGATACCAGAAAAGCCTACCAGTTCTACAAGTTCTACTTGTAGAAAATACATGTTGTCCACACCAAACCTCAAAATTAGGATGTAGCAGTTCATGATACTGGTTGAGTAGCCAGGATTGAGGTTACTGGCCTACAACTTTCTTGCACAGATTTCAAACTGAATCTACTGTTTAGTCCAAAAGAAGATTATGTTCATGAGAAACAATAATTTCTCTTATTCTTATGTTATTTTTATACCTTGTTCCAGTTTCTTCTTTTCTATGAGAGCTACCACAAATACACTTCAAGATATTTCATCCAAAAATCCAAATATACAAATTAGGAGCAGGAGTATGCCATTTGGCATGCCTAATACCAGAATGGATCTGTTCTACAATTCAATAAGATCATGGTTGATCTGAGGTCTCAACTTCACATTCTATCCTACTCCTAATAATTTTGACTCCCTTGTTAGTTAAGAGTTTATCTACCTCCACTTTAAAAATATCAACGACTCTTCCTCCACTGCTCTCTGGGAAAGAGTTTGAAAGACTTCACGATACTCAGAATTTCTTCTCATCCTACCTTAAATGGAAGACTGTTTTTAAATTACGCCTTCTAGTTTTAATTGTTCCCACATGGGTAAACATCCTTTCAGCATCTTCCCTGTCAAGGCCTCTCATAACCTTATATGTTTCAATAAGATGCTTCTTATTCCTCTAAACTGACAGAAACGGGCCTTTCCTTATAAGATAACCCCTCCATCCCAGCAATCAGTTCAATGAACCATCCCTGCTTCTAATGCATTTGTTTTCTTCCTTAACTAAGGAAACAAACTGTACGTAGTATTCCAGATGTAGCCTCACCAACACCCTGTGCAACTGTAGCAATAATCCTTACGTTTATATTCCATTACCCATTCAATTCCCCTTTGCTTATTAAATACAATGCCAAATTCACTTGTGTGATTACAGCTTGTCTACCTATAACATTTAAATTATTATTTCTAGGACATGTAGAGAATAAGGATTTTAAAACAAAAATGATCAGTTGGGTTATTTTTTTGTCCCAATTAAAGTGTCTTTAATCATTCGGTACAGCTTCATTACAGAGGTCAAATATCTTTATATTGAACTGAATTGAACTGGCTTTATTGTCACATGTACTCAAATGAGTACAGTGGAAAGTTTTATAAGTCACCACTTAAAGTGCCATCTTAGGTAAAACAGTCGCTAGGTATAATCTTTAGTTACAGAATAGAGAAATGAAGAAAAAAGTTACATTACATCTATACACAGTATAACCACTGGTCAGAAAAACAAGAAGCAAAGTTAAAAAGAAACTTCAGTCTCTCTCTGAAGTCTCTTCACAGCAGACCAGTGCAGGGGGCTACCATGTGGTCTGACCGCTGGCCCCACTCCCACACCGGGCCTCTAACGCCTCACTCTGCACTGAGCTGCTGGTCACTGGCGTCCCTGCTCCAGCTGCTGGTCGCTAAGCAATTACTGTATATGTTCTATTTCCTCCAACGAAAATTCACTGCCATATATCCACTACATACACTTCAATGTTAATGTGGACAAACCTATTCCAGCAAAGATCTATGATTTGTTTTTAACAAACTTGTCAGTGTTCTTTCATTCAAAAGTTTGGACATTTTGATTCTGACCTCGCATTCACAGCAAATTGGTGGCAAAATGACACCCTTATTAGGCTCAAATGTGTTCTCATGATTCATTTGACATTTTGAAAAAAGCATGAAAGTTGATATCTTCATCGTTCTAAGAAGTAATTATGGTGAAGCAACACAATAATCTGAGTGCCTACTGCTATTCTAATTTTATTCATACCTCCATAGACTGACTTCTAGGAAAGATAGCAAACTTGTGAATTTGTGTTCCAGCAGTAATTTGATAAGGCTTGCATTACAGGTTTCCTTCCAAGGTTTATGTCAAAAATGTATGTTGATGTGATCAAATGACTGTAAGCCAAATGCTGTGAAGCACTTTAAATCCACATAGGAAATAGAGGCACATTTGGAAAAGAAAATTAAAGTTAAAGAATGCTTACAGTTCACTTATGTTTAAAACAAGTGGCTCTCCCAACCAGCAAAATAACCCGTTCAAAATGGAGTTTCATAAATTATGCTGTGGTACATCTGCTCAATCAAATACAACAGGCCACAGGTAGCATTATGTAAGTCTCAGATCATAAAGCACAATATTGAAACTGCATTGTTAAATAGAAAACAAATTGCCCTTTGTATGAATCTGGGAAGTAGCTTTAGAATAATACTGGGAAAGCTCACTGAAGTGCTGGGAAAGGCTTGCACAGATATAAGCAACCGAAAGATTCAAGAGCCTAAAGAAGTAAGACTGAAGAGTGAAATATCTGGAAAACCAAAAAGGAAACTGGGGAGGTTGTGGAGTCTGAGAGTAAAGGTTACAACAATTAAGTACTGAGACATTAAGAACAGAGGGAAGATAGAGGACATAAATTAGAAACGTCAGTAGAGAAGATAAGACCTTTGTTTTTGCAAAGGTCAAAATAATTTGTTAAGAGTTAGTCGTCTACTAGAAAAACTTTATCATTGTGAAAAGGATGTTAGCCAACAGATTAGTTGAACTTCTCACCCAGTATGCTGTAGATTTGCTCAAATAATATCGCAGTCTGAATGCAACATATTTAAGGTCTCAAGAATAATCTTTCTACATATTATAGTTCTACAAGGAGAATCCCTCCTCCAACATTTCCGACATTTTCAACATATTCCCAATGCTTTCAACAACAGTGAGTATATTTCAAAACAACTTGATTGGCTGTAAAGTGCTTTAAGAATCCTAGGGGTGGCGATCATGAAAAAGGTTATATTAATACATTTTTCTTGTTTCTTTTAACTGTATTTTTAACTCTATTCAATATTTGTTAAGATGTGTTATCTAAACTATTAATATTTAATATAATTAGCTGAATATGAATATGCATATATCTTGAACTTATTGCAATTAACACTTTACAATGCCAAGGACACTGGTTACAGCAGTGATTGGAAGAAAACCACTTACAGACTTAAAAGAAAATTTTAACTCCAGCAAATGACCAAACTGAAGACTCCAACTGACCAGCTACCTAACTGAAGATTGCCACAGTTGACACCATGTGATATCATCATCAACAACCAAAAACTGAGAAAGTCACTTAGTTTCCTTAAAACAATAAGATACAGGAGCAGAATTAGGCTATTCAGCCCATCAAGTCTGCTATGCCATTCAATCACAGCTGATCGGTTTCTCAACTCCATTCTCCTAATTTCTCCCTGTAACCCTTGATCCCTTTTTGAATCAAGAACCTATCTATCTTAAATTTCCCTTGTAGTTTCATCCAAGGCTTTTTTTCCTTTTTGCCTATATCTGCAAAACTGTCTATTTTGTTCTGAATAACTGTCATATCAGACTCAATGTTAACTCGAGACAACAAGGTGCAGGGCTGGATGAACACAGCAGGCCATCCAGCCCTGCACCTTGTTGTCTCGGATTCTCCAGCATCTGCAGTTCCTACTATCTCTGATTCAATGTTAACTCTGTTTCTTTCTCCACAGCTGCTGCCAGACCTGCTGAATTCCTCCAGCATTTTGTTTTTATTTCAAATTTTCAGAAACCGCTGCCTTTTTCTTTTACATGTCAATCTTGTCTGTTTTGTCCATCCTATTAGTGAATGAAAGTGTGAAAATTTAGATTTAAGCAGTGGAGTAGTTTAAGATTTTAAATAATAATTAATAATCCATTTTGCCACTTGTTAAGGAATGAGGTGGATAAAATCATCAGGGGCATAGATAGGATGAATGCGTATAATCTTTATCCTAGAAATGGGGAATTGAAAACCAAAGGGCACAGATTTAAGGTGAGAGGGGACAGATTTTAGAAGGACCTGAGGGGCAACTTCACACAGAGAATGGTGCGTATATGGAATGCGCTGCCAGAGAAAGTGGTTGAGGCTGGTACAATAGCAACATTTTTTTAAAAATTTGGATAGGTACATGAATGAGAAGGGTTTAGAGGGATATGGACCAAATGTGAGCAATTGGAAATAACTGAGTGGGCACCATGGTCAGCATGGACCAGTTTGGGCCAAAGGGCTTGTTTCCATGCTGTATTACTCTATGACAATAAAATTGTTATAATAGATATATTTTTGTTTGCTTGTTCATCGAGGAAACCTTTCCAGCACATTCTTCCCATCAGGATTGTGATGATTTAAATAGTAATTT